ATCTATCTATCTATCTATCTATCTATCTATCTATCTATCTATCTATCTATCATCTATATCATCTATCTATCTATCTACCTATCTATCTCTACATATTTATGGGCAAAGAATCCTCTGCAAAAACTACACACAGCAGTCTGAAGACGAGAGGTTACGCTATGTATTAAGTTAGTACATAGAAAATACTTAGAAGCAGAATATAGGAAATATAGGTTAACCTAGAACAATCTTTTCCAAACTGATGGCCTCATTAAGTGTTTGGGTCACAACCAGCAGAGACTTTGGGAAGTTGTAGTCCTAACATGTCTGAGAGGAGGCATGATTAGGTGGAGGGATCCCTGGTGTGTTATCTAATGTTGCTTCAATTGGCTTAAGTGTCTCTATTCAGTAGTAGCTCTCATCCTGGAATAAGAAACACGACTTTTGTAACCAAAAGCACCAGCTTGTCATTTCTGGAAATAATTCCATTTTTACAGCAGGGATGGTGGGACAATGGCCTTTTTATGATTTGTGGACTTCAAGTCCCAGAATTCCATGCTGGCTCGGGGATTCTGGGCGTTGAAGTCCACAAGTCATAAAAGTACCATTGTTCCCCACTCCTCTCTTTCCTCTATGGCCTGAGAGAGTGGGGAATTACAAACAGCCCTAAATCAAAATGGCCGTATCTGTATATTTTATTACCTACTGATTTCTCAGTAGAGATCAGCCAAGGTTCTGCTTGCAGAAACGCAATCACGGTTCAACTGGAGAGGCCTTGGTATATTTTTCAAGGGTTTCAAGAATGGGAGCAAGATATGGTTGCAACTCCTGGTTGATTCTTTCCAAGCTTTCCTTCACCTTCTTCTGGACGTGGTCAGTAGCTGGTTGTAAGGAAGCCTTTAATTCTTGTAATTCATTCTGGAGGGTTTGGACTAATGGAGCCAACTCTTTGGTCAGCTTTTCCAGAAGCTTCTTGAGCTTCTCGCTCAACCTCGGGTTGAGTCTCTCAACTGAGGTGCTGACGGCCCGATGGAGGACTTCAGAATACGGTCCCATCTTCTCCAAGACCGAGTTTGCGAAGGGAGCCACAATGGAGTACAGGGTTTCGGCCACCTTGTCAGTGACTGGGGTCACTTGCCTCTTGAAGTTGTTTACGGCATCAATACCTTTCTCCACCAAGCCCATGGACATCTCAAGGGCCGTATAATAGGTTCTCGGGACATCCAGAGGCAATTTGGACTCCAGGTAATTCAAGTGCTCGCTTATTTTTAAGTAGGTGTGGTGAAGCCGGTCTCTGTGAGAGAAAAGGAGAGAAGAAAATGGTTTTTGGGAAACCCAGATGAGGGAGAAGAGCTACGTTAGAGAATAGGAAATTCCTGAACATAGGAAGGGGGAGGGAGAGGGAAGGAAGGAAGGAAGGAAGGAAGGAAGGAAGGAAGGAAGGAAGGAAGGAAGGAAGGAAGGAAGGAAGGAAGGAAGGAAGGAAGGTGTCAACTAAAAAATACTACTTTGGTCTTTTTAGTTGCCAGCAGAAAGGGAGTAAGGGAAAGCAGTGCATTCCTTAAATGCCTCAGATAATCGTCTTGGCAGCCGAAGCTGTTGGTGCGCAAGATTATTACTGGAGAGCATGAGTGATGACTCTTGGCTATGGATGTGTCCCATTGGAGAATATACATCCAGAGGGTGGAGGAAGACCAGGGTCAAGGGGGAAGGAAATGAATGATGTGTCAGAGTCGGCTACAACCAGGAAATGCCGACATGTCAAGTCCTAATAAATCAATCTTTTTTATACTGAGAGATGCGGCTAGAGACTTGTGATTTGAATGGAGGGGTGCATGTTGGAGCCCTGATAGCCAGAGAGGAATAGATGTGTGGGTGGGTGGATAAGATAGATAGAAAATAAAGATAGCTGATGGATGGATGGATGGATGGATGGATGGATGGATGGATGGATGGATGGATGGATGGATAGATTGATAGATAGATAGATAGATAGATAGATGATAGATAGATAGATAGATAGATAGATAGATAGATAGATAGATAGAT